GTTAAATTTCCTATTTCTAGCATAAAAGACTATAGAATCTATTAGTATCTTAATATTTTTCCCCAATTAGAAATCCTAAATGTCACTTTAAGGCTTTACATTATTTTCTGTGGTCGTTGATTTTACTCACTTTAAAAGCTCATAAACTAGCAAAAATAAAAACTAAAGTGTTCCAATGACTGGGAAATGTTTGAATGAGTTTAATATTTTAAATTACTTTAAATAGACGATGTTCTAACAATAAAGTATACAGAGCATTCTTGTGCTAAAGGAAGGCCAGAATTGTGTGTCAAAATCCATTCAAAGCTGGAGGTGTAGGGCATGCTCATAATCTAGGGCATGCTCATAATCTAGGGCATGCTCGTAATCTAGGGCATGCTCATAATCCCAATATGCAGGAGGCCGAGGCAAGAAGATTGCCACAAGTTCATCAAAAATTCCTCATATTTTTGTTCATATATTGTTTTATAGTTGGAACACTGAATGTTTTCTAAAAGCCAGCACAATTTGGGTGCATGGTGTCTGTGGATTTAATGCAGGGCCTTGCGTGTGCTAGGCATGCACTTCACCTCTGAGCAACATCCTCCGCCACTGAACATCAGAATTCTATATATTCTCGAATTAATATATACTGGAATGTTTTTAAAAACCTTACTGTGCTTATGATTTATTTTCCAGGTACTTAATGTAATTAGTCCCTTAAATCAAGTGCTTTATGTCTGTTCATCATCATGAACATGGTTTGCCCAAATTGCCTGATTCCTTGGTTGAGTTATCCCAGGTTTTGTTTCCCTTTTTGACACTGTTGATTTTTTAGAGCATTTTGGAAAGCCAAGAAAGAGCAGCAACTGGGGTATTTTTATGATGTCTGTGATAGAATCCAGAATTATTTTAATTAAATGATACCAATAAATTCTCAAAGGCTTTGCCTTTTATGTGCATGAGGAAACTTTTGAAAAGGAGTAAATAGGATCGTGCACCATTGCTTTAGTTTCTCCTAAACTAAGGGGTCTAGACACTGGAATTTCTATGAGGTACTCCAGAGTCCTGGGTCTTTCTGCTTTGGTTTAGCTTCTTTACCAAGCTTAAAGGCTCTCCGTGCATTTGTCTATAATCTTTTTCTTTGCTCTTTATAGAGACAGTGAGGAAGTAGGTACACATTTAGTTGTCTAAAATGCCAAAGATTCTAGCACATGGTGGAAGATACTCCATTGGTTGATATCACATTGAACATAACAGGAGCACAGAAAGATTTCATATGTGCACATTCGGGGAGAAGAATGTGCATTAGAATCATGTGCCTTTTTGATAATAACAATAAGCTTGTCTTCTGGATGGTTAACAACCGAAGTTTGCAGACCAAAATTAGAGAAAAAGGAGGGTTACAAGGAAAGCCAACATTTTGGCCCTAACCTTCTAAGGTCAATTAAGACTCAGGACATATGAGAACTTGTACTGTAACATCATGTAACTTGGTAGTGTCCCAAATTTTCTGATCAAGAAGATTATGGGGCCAAAGAGGAAAGTGATCAAAGATGTAGAGTGTGCCTAAGGAGAGTCACATGCAGAGAAAACACTCTCTCAGGCTTTCACAGAGAGCACATTGGCCAAGCAATGGCCGTGACTCATCCACATGGCTGACACTGACAAAGGTTCTACAATCTGAGGTACAGGATCTCAGGATAAATCCTGAGGAGATTTCATTGACCTTCTCAGACCAAAAAGCTACAACTCTTGTTGCATAGGTCCTGCTTTACCTTGGTCTTAACCATCCAGTAGAAAAGTATGAAGATGAAATATAGGAAGTAAAGCCATGCTGTTATGTTGAGCTGTGGGGGACTCAGGTCAACAATTTCTGACATTGTCAGTTAAACAGAAGACCCAATGCTATTATGGGCTACTGGACTCTTTTAGAATATTTTGCTGAGTTTACACACCTATAATAGTCAATAACAGAACTTAGAAAAAATGGGGTATACCGATGAATGTCCATTTTGTATCTGTGTATTCAAAGTGGTTGGGATAGATATATAGTTACATTCTCTTAATGAATAGAAAGATTTGTTCTAATGGTGTTTGTAAATAGGATCTAAAGTCTGCATCTTGTACAACCATTAACCACTAAGAAGAATGTATGCAGTGTGTTAATTATTGAAACTGTGCTAGTGGTTTGATTTGAGACTGTCTCATTGCTATTTGTTTATTAATAAAATTATGAAACAAAAAAAAGAAAAGAAACATGTGCCTGTCCTTAACTGGCTCTGTATATCTCTGTTTAAGTGTAAAAGGTAAATGGAATTATTTTGATAAAAAAGCTATTATTCTTAAGAAACTAATTTCATGTCTAGAAATACAGTGCAGATTTTTTTTTTGTTTGTTTTTTTGGTGGAACCAGGGATTGAACTCACACCCTTGCACTTGCCAGGCAAGCACTTATTCTACTGAGCTATCCCTCCAGCCCTAGATTTTGTATTTTTTAAAAAAAATAATTACATTAATTTTGTTTCTTTCTAATCCCAAACATTTTATTTTTCCCTGCCTCTAATAAGGGCATGCAGGCATAGGCAAATGAATCATCTTCAGTCCAGTGTGGGGACTGAACCTAGGGCCTCAGTGCCGAGTTCTGTATCACCCTTTAAAGATATATATCTTTTTAAAAAATTTTGGGCTAAGAGTCTGCTAATTGTAAGATCATTCAGTTGCCAGGGTGGCTCAAACTTGGGAGCCTCCTGCCTCAGCTGTCCAGAGTGCTGAGACTACAGGAATGTGCCACCACAGCTCGCTTAAGCCTCTCATATTTTTAAAATACATTGTAATTTTCTAAATAGTATAGCATTATCTAAATGAATGGAACAGAAGTTCAAATGCTTTGTCATGTAATTTAGAATTATAGGTGATAGATAATAATTTAAAAATATTTTCTGATGTTTATTATCATCAGTCTTACCTACTTGGAGTTATATCAAGTAAGAGTTTCAAATGTAAACTTAAAAAAAAAAAACCTAAAAAACACAAGAATGTATGAAAACATTTTTTATCACTATATATATATATAGAGAGAGAGAGATAGGTGAAGTTGTCATTACGTGAACATGATCCATTATCAGGTCCTGAGTGTTTCCTGCCCTTCTGTTTGTTACTTCTCAAATCTCTTCTGTATGTCTCAATCTAACACCCTCACTGGTAGGTTGATATAAATAGAGGCAGCCCCTGACTTATGATTTGAGTTATGAGATGTCAACTTTATAATGGTATGAAACTGATTCACACAAGATAAAAATCATAGTTCAGATTTTGAATATCAATCTTTTCCCCAGCTAGTGATAGTCCATAAAAACTGTCACCTTGCGGAGCACAGAATAGGCTTCAGCTCCCCTCCAACACAATGATCAAGAGGGCAAATACCCAACACCCGAGGTCTAAGTTACGATGCTTGGTAAGGTAGGTACATTCAGTGTACTTTGGACATAGGATATGTTCAACTTATGATGGATTTCTTCAGACATAAACTTACTGTAAATTGAAGGGCATCTGTAATCTATAGATAGTTCATCTTCCCCTACAGTCCTGTCTCCATCTTACAGTTCAAGTAATCTTTTAAATTATAAATATAAATATACTGCTTCCTTAAGACTTTCATGATTTCCCACTACCCAGAATAAACCCCCCAGAATCTCCCCAGCCCCAGAAAGTACTCCATTCACAACCCTGCGTGCCGCCCAAGCACTGCGCTTCTTCCTCCTCCACCTGGGGCTCCGGTCTGGGCAACTGTCACTCCCCATATGTGCTTCACTTCCTGATATCCCCTGTCCCTGGGACAATGCCCATGCACAGTTCATAGTTCTACTCTTCCAGGAAGCATTTCTTGACCCCCAAACTATGAGGTATGATTGGAAAATACTGCAAATGCATTTCAAAAAAACAAAACACACACACACACACACACACACACACACCTCTAACAGCTAAGCAAACTAAAACTATCTGCCAAGGTCTGGCAGGCATGAGCTGACAC